GTGTGTGTCTGTTAGCTAGTGTGTATGCGTCTGTAAGTGAGAGTGTGTGTGTCTTCAGCACTTACCTTTCTCCAGCGCCGGACTCTCCTTGGCGCTGGGGATCCCTCAGCCTCTCAGCTCCGAATGAGACCGCGCACGCATTCAAACCGCCCATAGGAAAGCATTACTCAATGCTTTCCTATGGACGTTCAGTATGCTCCTCTAGCGGCTGTCAGTGAGACAGCCACTAGAGGCTGGAGTAACCCTCAGTGAAACATAGCAGTTTCTCTGAAACTGCTATGTTTTCAGCTGCAGGGTTAAAACTAGAGGGACCTGACACCCAGACAACTTCATTGAGCTGATGTGATCTGGGTGTCTGTAGTGGTTTAAAGGACCACTATAGTGCCAGGAAAACATACTGTTTTCCGGGCACTATAGTGCCCCGAGGGTGCCCCCACCCTCAGTAGGGACCCTCCGCCCGCCGCTCTGGAAAGGAAAAGGGGTAAAACTTACCTTTTTCCGAAAAGGTGGAGAGCTTCCTCCTCCTACCTCCTTCTCCTGTCGTGGCTGTGGCGCGCATCGCCAAGCAGCAAGAGCTGCGCGCGCATTCAGCCGGTCACACAGGAAAGCATTCATAATGCTTTCCTATGGACGCTGGCGTGCTCTCACTGTGAAAATCACAGTGAGAAGCACGCAAGCGCCTCTAGCGGCTGTCAATGAGACAGCCGCTAGAGGAAATAGGGGAAGGCTTAACCCATTCATAAACTTAGCAGTTTCTCTGAAACTGCTATGTTTATGAAAAAATGGGTTAACCCTAGCTGGACCTGGCACCCAGACCACTTCATTAAGATGAAGTGGTCTGGGTGCCTAGAGTGGTCCTTTAAATGTGTGTGCATCTGCATGCACTGGCGTACATACCGCGGTCGCAGGGGTCGCAGCCCTGTAACCCCTGCGACCAGGTGCCCACCGCCATGTGTTGCGGCCCGGCCCGCGCGCTGGGGGGGGGGGGCCCACGGATCAATTTTCGCACCGGGGCCCCATGGGTCATGTGTACGCCACTGACCAGCACCCATTTGTATCAACTATTTACAAAAAAATTAAATAAAATTACAATGAAATACAGAAGGTCAGGCTGGTTTCCCTATGGGGAAAAAATATTTATTCATTAGGAATTGTGAAAAAAAAAGTTTTTAAATCATGGTGCATCAAAGCAGGGGTTGAGCACAGAACCATTTAACGACAAACAAAACAATGCATGTGTCAATGCCCATGCTCTACTCCTGTTATGCTGCAATGCACATTCTATACCCCTGTTATGGCTTATATATTTAGTTTTATTGCAAAAAAAATACATTGAGGAAATGATGTGTCAAATGTTACTTTGTGGTCAATCTAGAGCTGTGCCTCTTCCAGGAAGCAACTTGGTCAATCAAGAGTTTTTCATTCTAATTGAAAGGGTCTGAACATTTTGAACAGCATTGCAAGGGTGGATTTTTTTGGGGTAGGATCTGTCCAGCCTCGGTTATACTCATTGCAGGTGTTTCTGTTACGTTAAGTCAGCTATCCGCTTTCTATTTATAAAACAATTCTAGCAGAAGTAGAAATCCAACAAAGTTTTGCTGTACGTTTTGATAGCATGTGCAACACTATTATTCTAGGGAGATTCTAGGGAGAAATGGCAGCTTTGAACATGTACATTAACCAGGAAGAAGAAAGGGCTTTAGAATGGAGCATGCAGGACCAAGGAAGTAGTTTTATTATGTGGAATACTGCAAAACATTAATTTTTGTTTTGTAAAAAGTATATGAATATGGACAGATATATAAAACACAGCTAATTATTAAGACCAACAGATTGTTTTTCCTGGCACTGGAGTTTCCCTTTAAGTGATTATTTGACATCCCTAGATTAATAAAGTAACTGTTACCTAATGTAACTATGTTTTGTTTCTGACTGTAATTGTGTAGATTTTATTCAATTATAAAATGCTCTTTTATCTTTTGAATGTTTGTACAAAACCTCACAAATTGTAGGCTGGCATTGGAATATTTATGTAGTACTCCTCACAGGACCACTTATTCTGTTCTTCCTACACTCTGTCATTTAGTATAGCACAGTGGTGCCCAAAAGGTAGATCCCCAGATGTTTTAAAACTACAGCCTCCATGGTGCTTTGCCATTCTAAAGTTATGCATAGCATCGTGGGAGTTGTAGTTTCACAACATCTGCGGTTCTACCTTTTGGGCACCCCTGGTGTAGCATCTTCTTACCATGGCATCCAGACATTAAAAACACTTAAGATACCTTTGAGGTGATGCAACTGCTCGCATTTGAGGGCAATGGTGTGTGGAATTTTAAATTTGTGGCGATGTTAAGAAGTTTTTCTTTTTTTCTTTTCATCCTCTAAATATTTGAATAATTATTTTTGCCCTGGTATAAGTATAAAATCTATACCGAAATGTAGATTTCAATAAAAGAAACATTTTCCAGGGAAAGTCCTAACGGCTCGCATTTTCAAGTGATTGCAAATAAAGTTCTCACATGCAAGATTTGTGAGTGTTAAGGATCGTTATCTATAATTCTGTGTTTGTTGCACTTAGCAGCAGCTGGAACTTCTGCTTACAGCTCCGCTAATTGAATGTCTAGTTGTGAATCAGTGGCTCCTGCAGAGGTTCGCAGTTACGCCAGCCATTGGTAGTATGGACATATTTAGCAAAAATTAATTTGTAATAAACAAATAGGAACTATATATACATACGCAAGGTTAGGGTATGAAGACATGCTTCTAGCACTCATGTATGCATGCAATTGGTAGTAAAGGAGTTAATATTACATTAAATTTATGTTATCATCAAGATACTTTATATGGTCAATTTTTGTTATATTTTATTACTTTATCATATTTCATGCTGGATCAACCTAGCCTTTATGTTATAAAAATTTATGGTAAAGAAAACATCCCAAAATAAATTAATAAATAAACCAGAGCCAAAATGTAAGCTGTTTTTCTAATCAGCGTCAAATAATTTTATTAGTCTCTGCAACAATCTCATATCCTGGAAGTCATTTCTATGGTGTTCCCTCCTACTGCTTCAAGATCTCTTTGAAACACATGGCGTTGTACAAGAAAGCATAGCTGATGCTCATGGAGACAAGAGGTGAAATTAAAAAAAAAAAAGTAATTTAAGTTATACAAACAGGTGAGTATTCTCAGGGCCAAATCAATCCAGTCAGTGCATCTGAGCATTCACAGTTTCCAGACAAATGGTGAGACAGATAGCACCATTTTAATAGATGTTGTAAATATACTGATTAAAAAGTTCTAATAAAATAGTTTTTACTTTTTTCAATTTGTTTTTTTTTTCTCTTTACCATTTTTAAAAATGTTAGGAGTTTCATATCCACCTGAATAGATTTTTGCAACTAAACCATCAAGCCTGTTTTTATTTCTTTTTCAGATAGATGAATAAAAAATGACTTATATGTCATGTTTAGAATGACATAGGAAATGCATCAGCAAGCACAAAAGCCAGTAGAAAATCTAAATATGCACACAAAAAGATCAAACTGTCACCATACTATGTTAAATATTTTTACAACAGAATCAAGAAAGTTTTCTTTTTTTTTACAAAGTAATTTCTGGGCTTCGATCTACATACAGTAAGTATAGCTGTGCTGTCATAAAAGCTCATATCTTTGGCAACAATTAACATATTCAGTGTTTTACAATTTCAACAGCAAACTTGACCGAATTTATTTAAATTATTTATCCACTTGATTGCTATAAGAACCCTCAAGATAATATGGTTTAATCTGCATTAATCTAAAACCCTTAGTGTATAACCATTTGTTATTCTTATGTGTGGTTGCCATATTTAAGAATACCAAATTATGGTGCTATCTACTAAACAGCTGAAAGATCAAAATTAAGAAAATCAATTGTTTAGTAGATAAATTAGATCTCTAATTTGATATCCTGTGCAAAACAAATGGATCCAAAATTATTTGTTTTGATTCATTATGGATCCATTCATTTTAATTTAGTTTTCTGTCAACGTATCCAAATTGACGAATTTGACTGAAATTTGACATGTTCTGAGATGAAATGCATGTGTTTACTTTGTACAGAAGGATTTAAAAGACACATAGAAGACTCACAAAAGGACTCAAGAGAGTTTGTAGTTTTTGTGATATAAAATTGAAAAAGTATAGCTAAGTAATAACTATAGCCTCCTTTAAAGATCACACCATGGTTTACTAGTTTAGTTTAATTGCTAGAGGCAGTGTATAGTATTGACTAGCAATATAGTAAAAAGTCAAAATGGCTACCAGCAAAAGCATATTTCAAAAACCATTCTTGATTTTCTTTGAACTGCTTGCTCGTTTGTTAAGGCGTATCATACTTCCTTGTAGTATAATAGTATTGGTAACAATATAGGGAGAGAACGAAGCAAACTCTCCCAGAGATTGAAATGCAGTGTGGCAATGAGTCATCTGCACTCCTTGCCCAAATGGTTATGCCAGCCAAAGAAGGGTTCTACCCCAACTTTAATCTGTTTCAGTATATTTTTTATTTTGCATCTCATTCTGTAACCAAGTACATTTATAGTAATGTTATGAATATTTAACTAAAAATCGGACCACTATATTATGAAAACACCTATATTAGTAATTATTAGCATGGTGGACTCCACAAATGTAGGCAAGGGTTTTGGCTACAAACAATCCAGGCTGATTCTAGTAAATATTGTTCACTTCAGTGTCACTATAGAGTGCAAGTACACGTTTGTGTGAAAAGGATGTTCTGGTATAAATGACAATTA